GGGGGGTGGATTTTGCTGGGGTTTTTCTTTTGGTGTTTTGTTTTGTTTTGTTTTGTTTTGTTTTGTTTTGTTTTGTTCTATTTATTTATTTATTTATTTAATTTAAGCAATCCTGACCTGGAGTTTGTGGTGAAAAAATGAAGCCTAGCCATGCCTATCTCCTTTGTGTGTGTGTCTGTGTGTCTCTGTGTGTGTGTGTATAGATACAGACATGTGTGATCTTGGGGAAGTACTTTGACTGTTAGTACACTTGAAATAGCATCCCTTGCTGCTCACAGATGTCCTGAGTTAGCTCATGCTCTTTGTGCTACCTAGGCAGCCCCTAGTTTACAGAGATAATCAAATTGTTGCAGCAAGTAACAAATCCTTGGTGATCTGGTAGCACAGCGACTCCTCCGTATTGATGATGTTTATCCAAGCATGATCCACTTGCAGAGGCCATAAAATCAATGAGAAATTTGATTCATTTCGGTTGCTCCAGAGCTGTGCTCACTTTCTCTTTAGCTACCATCAAAGTGTATAGACACAAAGCATCTAAACTCTCCTTTGACCTAGAGTTGGTGAGTTTGAGCCAAAAGTCCAAGTCTGTTTCCAGGATGTAACTGGATAGCACAGAGGCATTTCTGTCCTGAGTCTATTCTGGCTTGTTGCTGTTTCAGCAGTGCCTAGTGTTCGAAAGGATCCAAAACCAGTGCTGTGGCTTCCTGGATTGCCAAGCAGCTCTAACTCTCAGCTTTAGTCTCTGCTGTAAGCCCTTGTTCAGAGCTTGTAGTACCCGCAGCATCACACCACAAAACAAGGAAGCACTGACCTGCTAGCTTATAATTTATGGCAGTGCAGGTTGCCTCTGCTTTGAGAGTTCTAAAGACTTTCTTAGGTTTTCTATGGAAATTAATTTTGTGCTGCACCTGTGTACAGAAAGGCAAAGAATGCAGCAAAGGAACAGGCTTTCTTCTCCTTGGGGTCTCCAAGTTGTTAGTGAATGTATTTTTAATATCAATGGGATATATTTCCTAGAACCAGGATCTCCAATATCCCTGAGCCCATGGGATTGAATGTCAGAAGGGCCATGTATTAATGTTTACAGCAAAATAAATGAACAGGCCCAGTACTATTAAGTTCTCTCCTGCCTACAACCACTTCAGAGGCTCCCTCAACAGGCATCAGATCCATCTCAGAGTTGTCAGGCTTTGGTTTGTTCTCCAGTATACTTTTAATCTCCTCAAATCTGCGTGTAGGACAAGCCACGCACAAAGCCCATGTGGGGTGGGCTCCTGGGCTGGTGTGAACTGGTGCATTTGCCTTGGCTTCAGAGAGCTCCTCTAGCTGCCACCCCAGGCCCAGGGAGTGGCTGGGCCTGGAGTGACCTCTGGGCATTCAGAATAAAAGGCAACTCATGAATATAAATAGTGTGGAAAGCTAATATTACACTGAGGGGGTCTCAGTATTTCAGTATGCTTTATATTATTTAGATTAAATTTATGCCACTTACTTCTTAAGAACTACTGCAAACAGTCCTCGGGTTAACTTATTCAGATAGCAGCAAGAAAACTTCATGGGTCACCTTTAATAACTAAGACTGTGTGAATACATATCAAGTTGTTACTAGGCTATCAAAAATATGTGGTTCAAAGAACATTTAAAATATTTCAAGATTTTCAAGTCCCCATCAAACTTCCCAAGCTTCATCTAGCTTACGCTGTTGTCAAAGAAGTAAGTTTAATGGAGTGAGACCAACTCTGGGTTTTCTTGTTCCTTTTGTTCCCATAAACCCAGACCGGCAGTGTTATTTTTAAAAGAAAAGAGACATGTCAGAGAATATTATTAAAAATGGGCTCTGTTTCCCTAAAGGAGGTGTTACCCAGTCACATATGTAGCTTATGTAAATATGTAATCAGGGTCCGTTTCAATAAAAGTGTTTTCCATGAGGGTTTTAGTAACAAGGACTTTGATATTCAAGGTGTTGGATCAAATATCAAAAAAGCTTAGTATGCTTGTGAGATGCAAAACAAATACCTGAAGGGTAGAAGCCTGCAGTTTATTTTTGTGAAGGGTCAGCGTGTGTAGAAGCAATTGTAATCAGTTTTGCAAAAACAAATTGGATTATCTTTTTTTTTGTTTGGTTGGGGTTTTTTTGGGTTTTTTTTTTTGTTTGTTTGTTTTTGGGGGGGGGGTTTTTTTGGTTTTTTTTGTCTTTTTGTGGTTTTTTTGTCTGTATGTCTGTGTGTGTGAGAGACAGAGAGAAAATCAAGGTCCTAATAACAGCAGAATCAGATTTTGGGGCTTTTCTTCTAGGTTGAGGATAGTTTTCAGTACCAGCCTTTGGGTTACTGCCCCACCAAAAGATGAAAAGATGTCTTGGGAAAACCCAGAGCAAGGCACCATGGTGGGGTCTGAATTTTGGGATCCAGTTCTGTTGTTACCACAATGTGATGAATTTTGGCACTGATCTCTAATGAAAGCCCATTTAGCACAAGGGACTGGGACTCCACAGAAACATCAGCAGGTGACAGAAACAGAAGGGAACTCAGGGTATTTGTATTCAGTTTCTAGTCTAAACACAATGCACTGGCCTCTTCTAGTTTAAGAATAGATAATATCTTTCAGTCCTATAGCTTGTAAACTGTCTGGGAAAAGTAGGTTTTACTTCAGGTGAATGTTCTTAGTTTTTTTTATGGCATTATAGGAATTTTCCAAGTAGGAGGTGACAAGAAATGTTGCTTTTACTACTTATTTGAGCCATTCTCCTGAAATGCAGTAAGTGATTTCCCCATAGTCTGCTCTAGCATCCACCAAATAAATATCTTGGAGCAAGTATATGATCAGGCATCTAATTTTTAGCATTTGGAACACAAGCCCACACACCAGGGAATTTTTTAGCAATTGCTTTAATAGTGCTGTGTTTACAAGAGCAGCACTGGTCTTATTTATCAACAACTTGCAGAAATTGTTTCAATCTCATTCGCACAATGGATGTGCTGGAAAACCAGTGAGGTCAGGAATACTGCAGTTAGAAGCACAGGAGAGAGAAAGGCTGATTTCTATGTGTCTAATCTATCAAATTCTCATTACAAGAGTTTCAGCCTTCTTGCCTCTCTATGCAGTCAAGTGTTGGCTGCTGCTGTCCTCTGCAGCTGGATCTTATCAGCGAGACAGGCAGGGAAGGCAGCTGCTGCAGCAGCAAGTCCAAGGGAGAATAAAGTTCCCTTACAGCTCCCTTCTGGCCACTTGCACAGCAGCTCAGTTTAGCCAAAGGCAAGCACTGCAGAAAAATAGGTAAGGAAGGTTTTTTATGATGGATGTCTGGTAGAGGATGAGTGCTGCCTGAGAGATACTTCCTCTGCATCAGGCCCTGATTCAGGGAGCTGAGCAGCACTGTCTTTTTTGTCTATGGCTGGTTTCTGGTTGCTCCTGTCCCTGCTCACAGCTCTACATGAATGCAGTTCAAGCAGAAAGGAGGGTTCAGCATGAAGGGCTTGGAACAATTTGTTTGCTGTGGGTGGTATTACAGAGTTTACATTCTCTGATCATTTCTTTCTGATGTGGTCCTTGTTTCTAACTCATACTTGGACCATCCTGCTTGATACAAAATGGCACATTACAGACCCAGCCCCTCTACTAAACCAGTTCCTGCTCTGTTCCTTTGTTGTTGTGTATTTGTTTTGTGTGAAACTGAGACAAGAACTTGCTCTGCCTCCCACATGAAAGCACCTAAGGACCAGGCTACAGCAGAAAACTTCCCTGACATTCCTTGTCCCCTGAGTCTTTGGAGCTGCTCTTGCTGACTTGGGCAGAAATCCCACTCTCTTGCCTCAGGGCAAGTGCTCCCATGATTAGGCTGGCATCCACCTCTGTCTTAACAGGTCAAAAGCAAATCGGTTTTCTGTTCCACATAATTACTTCCTTCCTCCAGGAGACAGTTTGGTGTCTTCCAATTTTGACATAGCTCTTACAAGTCCCCATATACCCTCTCTCAGGCAGCAGTGCTGGTATCTGAGTCCTCTTCTTGGGTATCTGTCCCTCCATAGTATGTCTGGGAGATAGCAATAAAATGGTTAATGTATCAGGAGTTTTAAAATGAAGCTTCATTTCTTTTTCCAAAGCAAAATTCAGAAGCACTATACATACCCAGGTCTCCTTGGCAGACATCTGTTTGGGTAGCTCCTCCAGTTATAAACTGAGGGTTGGCACATAACTCCTGAAAAGACACGATTTCAAAGTTTGCATCACCCTTTCTGGTCTGCAAAGTTCCCTTTTCTTATTCCTTATTTTAATATTCAAAAACTATTAAACACTTTGAATATTTATTTAAAAGTATACCTTTTCTTCTCCCTGATTAACATGGTCCCAGGACAAAATTTCTTTTTTAAATTGAGGGCTGCATGTATTTTTTTGAGGCAAATCCTGATGCCCTTTGCTACTAGGCACTGTCACTGATACTACTGAGAATTTCTGCTACAGTGGAGAGAGAGGTGAAAATTCACCTCAGCGTTTACATCTTATTTCATCTTGCTGAGACTTTGGTTCAAGCAGCACAAATAAGTTTGTGACTCTAGCTGCTGCCTGTGCCACTGGAACTGTGCTGAGTTTCCAGTGCCAACAGTGTGGAGGATGTACCCCCACCCCGACTCTGCTTTCTGGGAGGCCAACCACAGAAATGCTTTTATTAGCAACAACCCCCCTTTCTTCCTGGCCCTTTGGGGCCAGCCAAGTGGGTTATGGCAATGACTGTCACTCCTACCCCAACTCTGAGCTCTCCAACAACTCCTGGCCTATATTAGGAAGTCATTATTATCTCTAGAGACAAAAGCCTTTTCTGTTTTTCTGAGAATTTGCCGTGAGGTTCTGGGTGGCAGCAAGAAGCAGTTTATTGGAAGCCTAACTTGGCAAGCAGAGTTGAAGACAGTTTAGACAGTCACTGGCTCTCCTCGAGAGCAGCAGTTGTCAGCTCTGAGCATTCCGTGGAGACAGAGACAACCCAGGACTTCTGTGTACGATGGAGAGCCAGTTTGTGCATCTTCCCTCCAATAGGAATGATCTCAGCTACATCCTTTTGCTTCTGTCCAGGGGAGAGGGGTCCAGCAGTAGGTTACCCACCAAACAGAAGAAAGTTTTGTGGATTTTTTTCTCTTCTCCTTCCAAAGTGCTGCACCTGGTGCCAGTCAGCTGCATATGACTTATTACTCACCCAGACACGTGTCCTTCCTGAGCCACTCCAAAGTGCTGCATGCACCTTTTACACAGCTGAGTTTCTCCTTCAGGGGTCCCACAGGCTGGTCTCTGGCAGGCAGGGCTGGGACATTTAACCCTATTGGATCTCAGCCCTCAGTTATTCCTTACGTTGCTGTGATTGTGGCTGTGTGTCTGCCTGCAGCAGGCTCAACACTGTTCTTGTATGAGAAACCAAAGTTTAATTTCATGAGTTTTTGTTGCAGTGAATGCTCCAAGTGTGGGGACACGATGCTTGATTCCATTTTTTCAGAAGGCTGATTTATTATGTTATATAATATACTAAAATATTACATTACAACTATACTAAAAGAATAGAGAGAGAAGAAGGATTAGAAGGTTACAAAGAACAAGAATACAATAGAATGCATAACAAAATCCTGTGACTGCTCACAGCCTTGGCACAGGTGGCTGTGATTGGTCATCAAGTTAAAACAATCCATATGGACCAATGGAAGATGCACCTGTTGCATTCCACAGCAGCAGATAGTTATTGTTTACATTTCTTTCCTGAGGCCCTCAGCTCTCAGGAGGGGAAAAATCCTCGCAGAGGATTTTCCATAAAATATCATAGCTACAAGTTTTCTAAGACTGATCTTCCCCAAGGATAGGCAAAGCCAAGAAACACATCCATGGTATTTGTTGAGGTAACATCCAGGTGCCAGAGTGAGGTGATGATGGATAAATGGCATTGCCAGGCTTATTAAACCTGGAGTTACTAAAACTGCAAGTTTCTGTTTCTCACTTATCAGGTGAAAAAATAATAAAGCCCAAAGACTTTTGAAGAAAAAGAAATTTTCTGTTCTTCTCATTCTCCTTCACTCCACCAGATGGAGGTAATTAATTTGGGGGGGGGAGGAATCCTCATTTTTAAAAAATATTTCTTGATGTTGCAAAATGACAAAGGAGAAGTAAATGGGGACAGAAATAAATAGAGTTCAGAAAAATCTCTGAAGCCCTGATTTTGTAACTTTAAAAAAAATCATAATCTAATATTTCCTGATGAAAATTACTTTCTTAGAATCACAGGACATTTCTAGGATATATGTATTTAGGTAATAACATTTCCAGTCAGTTGCTATTTAACTGTTACAGGCAGCTTGAAGTGAGACAGAGGATTTTATTTAGGATTTTATTTACGTATTAGTGTGATTTCCTGAGGGGCACAGTGGCTCAGTGTGGGTGATGTTACAAATGATAGTCAGTGGCTCCTGGAGTGGCCCATGGTCTGGTGGGGCTTTTGCATCCACCTCTGGATTGCACCCTGGACTTGTAGCTCTCTGGAGTTGGGATGGACAGGAAGAAAGCAGGTTGCTGAGAAGCAGGCACCCATGAAGCACTTATAGGATTCCCTGCTTTATAATGGGCTTAGAAGACAGTGATTCCTTTTCCCACCCCCTGTCCAATTTGGCTTCTGCCATGGAAGTAAAGCAAGATAGAATTAAGAGAAAAAGACCTACAGGAACAGCGGCTATTCAGCTCGCCAGTGATTTAACCTGGATGTTCAGCTGGGCTTTGGTTAGGTTTGAACCTAGTGAAATAAGAGAGCACTCTTACTGTGGGGCACATCCAGATTATCCCCCGAGTTTTGAAGGAATATGGTCTCAGGTCCTGGTAGCCCAGAGCAGAAGGGCAGGCTGGGAACTTTTCATCCTTGAGTATGCCAGTCTGCAGGCACTGCTGCTTCAGGGCTTCATAGTCATGCTTCAAATACTTGATGGCATTCCTGTTGGATCCAAGCCCATCCACTGCTGCTCATTCTTGGCAGAGTCTTGCTGTGACCTTGGACACGCTGCCCACCCTCCTAGTGTGTGCTGCAGCTCTGCCCTTGCCTCCAGGGCAAAGAGAGGAGGTGAATATGGGCAGGCAGCAGGCTTGGGCAGAGCCAAGGACTGCCCCAAGGGCTCCAGCAGCCCTGCTGGGTGGAGGCAGCAGGGGAGCAAATATGTACCAGGGAGATGGGTGGGAGCCACAGCCATCCCACAGAGGCTGGGATCATGGGCACTGCTGCTGCTACTCCCATGGTATTTGCTCTTTTTGTTGTCGTTTTAAAAATACTCTTTTAGCAAGAAGCCAGGGAGAACTTTTTGCAGGCACACCTGTTAACAGTTGGAAAGAGACTTGTGTGCATTCTGAGTGCTGAAAGTGAGGTTTAAGGATCAGTCCTTCAAAAATTCAAGTGAAGATGGTTCAAAACTCCTTTCCTCCTTCTGAAATCAAACTCTATGCTGTTGGAGGGTCATACAGCCACAAAACATGGAGCTGGATATCTATTGCTACAGTTTACATGGCTGTGGAGATGCCATGGAGTTTTAAAGCTAGGGAAAATGAAACCCACTTCTGGCTTTAATGACAAGTTTTCTTAAAAAGACCCTCTCTTTGGTACTCTCAAAGCAGTATGAGTTTATGACTTAATTTATTAGCAACAAGAGATGTGAAGTTGAGAGAGCTAGAGCTGGCCACCTGCAGTAGGTAAAGACACAACCCAGGAGAATGACCTAGGCCAAATATGGGAAATTTTTTCACCAGGTAGGAGTGAAGCTGCTAAGCCCTACTACCCCTCTCCATTGTCACCTTGGGCAGAAGTCACTAAAACATGCCCATCTATAAAAGCAGGGTGTGGTCTCAGCTAGTGAGAGATTACCCATCATGTTTACAGTCTTCTGGTGATGTTTCTTGCATATAAAAAGTTTACAGGCAGAAAACAAAGAAAGCCTTGGGTGCAAAAGTCTTTATAGATCTTAGGAAACAGTGGTTCCTGTTCTTGTAGGAGAAAAGCTCCATTTCTACCCTACCAACCCCATTTTGTACTGACACGGGGTCCATACCTCCCTGGCAAGGTGACTGCCTTTGTAGGTTTAGGAACTGAAAGAGGAAATATTTTCCATGGAGCACAGCTGCTCTCTGCTGTCATCCTGTGTAATGGCTGGGATTCCCCAGCAAAGCCACCAGGTGTCCAGCTGAGAGCTGGGTAAACAGTAACTTTGTTTCCCAAGGAGCATGTTTGATGACTACCTCTAGGTAAATTTAGACAGAAGGTGAGGGGAAGGAAAGAGGGAATTTTTAAGGAATGAAACCAGTGAAATAAGGAATTCAAACAGAGGCTAGCTGGGTTTCTTGTCTGCAAATATTTGAAGAGAGTGAATGCAGAGGAAGAAACAAAATTACTTGGTCAGTTCCAGGCAGTGAAGGCTGGGCTGAGGGAATTAATATATCAGTTACCCCAAAATTAAACTAATTCTGTTAAAACTGAGTAAAGAAAAAGAGTGGCAAGCATTTTATCCCTGTTGCATTTCAGCACTTCCCAGGCATATCTGTGTACTGAAACAGAGTGAGGAGTGGAATAACAAAAGGTTGAGGGGACGGTTGTTTCTTTCCACTGTGGATTTGTTTTCCTGACAAAAAGACTCACTTAAGGGTACCCACTTTCTTTGCTCATGAGGCAGAATAATGCTTTCTTCCCTCACCCTGCATCAGTGCCTTGTGCTGAAATGTCCTCTCTTCCTGTGGTCCAAAGGAATGCTCCCATTTTGCTGTGATTGCTGTAAGTTTAGCAACGTTATTCATGGAAAAGCATGGTGCCCCAGCAACTGGAAAAGGTAATTTTGAACAAGTGAATATTCTGTGTTCCGTGTGCTTTTTGAGACATACACTTCATATGCTCTGTGATCTCGAACTCCAGATGCCACTTTCAGGAAAGGAAAAGAAATCTTGTGATTTCAGTGACTTTAAATTTGGCATGCTTTGGTCAATATCCCTGCACTTCATGACATCCCATGCCTTTTGACAACGTTCACTTCAGTGAAGAATTTTTTTTTTCCCAGTATCCATGCCATTTCATTCATATCTTCCCTTCAGTGTTCACTCTTCCTCCTTGATTTTTCCCCGATTTTGCAACATCTGTGAGGTTAGTTTTGGCATGTTTTGGTCCTTTTCACTGCACCTCATTTCCTCCCAGACCAATTTCTTTTAGTCACTAATTTGCCAAAGTGTCTTATTTTTTTTCCAGTTGCATTTCCTTTGATCATATCTCCTTCCCAGAGTGTTTGTAAGTCTTTGTTTTGTGTTTTCAAGATTTCAGTGAGAATCAATTTGGCAGGTTTTGGTCCATATCCCTGCACTTCATGGCAACCCATGCCTTTTGATGGAAAAAAAAAAAATCGAAACCTTCCCTGAAGTGAAAGGTATCAATTCCTATACCTTTCAGGAAAGGAAACAAAATCTTGGAAATAGAAAAGAAAAGCTCATAAGAACTCTGGAAAGGAGATATGCTCAAAGGAAATACAATTGAAAAAAAAAAAATTTTTGGCAATTTAGTGACTACAAGAAATTGGTCTGGGAGGAAATGAGGTGCAGTGAAAAGCACCAAAACATGCCAAAACTAACCTCACAGATGTTGTAGCATGACATCATCTGTAATAGTTAGTATTGACTTCATTATTCCAGATGGCTGATGAATCACTTTATTATACTATGCTTCTTAAGAGACCCATCACCCTTACAGATAGTCTGATACAGACAGACCTGATTGGTCCTTTAATTAAAACTCCATCACCATTAGCCAATTAAGAAATCACCATTTGGTAAACAAATCTCCATAACACATTCCACATGTTCACAACAACAGGCACAGCAAGTGAAGATAAGAATTGTTTATCATTCTTTTCTCTGATCTACTCACAGCCTTTCTCAGCACAATGCCTGGGAAAGTTGTGGGCTCCTCTTTGTAGCCAGAGAACTGCTACCAGACACAGATGTTGCAAAATCTGGGGAAAAAATTAAGGAGGAAGACAGAACATTGAGGAGGAGATATTAATGAAATGGCATAGAAACTGAAAAAAAAATTTAAAAAATCTTGGCCGAAGTGAACACCATCAAGAGGCATGGGATGCCATGAAGTGCAGGGATATTGACCAAAGCATGCCAAATTTAAAGTCACTGAAATCACAAGATTTCTTTTCCTTTCCTGAAAGGAAATTTACAGTTCGTGCTGGTAATACGTATAGCAATGCAAGATTTCAGATAATTTTTTACTTTTATATGTAACCATTATTTGAAATATTTAAGAGTTGGAGTTTTTTCCCCATAAAATACTTCTCTCTGAAATGTTACTCAGGGTTTACACATAATAGCCCACCCTGTAAAATATGTTGCGGATACTCTGCAGAAACTGCAGTTTAGCAACTAGTGTTGATAACGTGGGTTAAATGACATTCCTCCTGTAGTGATGGAAACTCTGAGACTGACATACACAGACACCCTCAACAGAGGTTAAGGTGGCTTACCTCCTGTCCTAAAGTTAATGTGCATTTTAATACTTCCCAAGAAGGTGAATTCAAGCTCCTTCATTGCTCTGCACTGGAGTCCAAAGAGAATTTCAGTGTACTTTTTGTCATTTACAGCTGTCATTGCTTAGCTCTTGAACATAAGAGTCCCTCATGACTGATGAAAATTGTCTAGTTAAGAGTGGGTCAAAGATATGTCCTGCTCTAGAAGGAGATGAGAAGATTTTTGCAGTCTTAGTCATCGCTACTGCTTGTGATTTCTATATGAAACCGGTGGGAAGTTTATAGTGGTGTTCGAGGGTGCCAGGATGTGGGAAGAGAGGAGAATCTTGTCTCCATGTTTCAGAAGGCTGGTTTGTTATATTATGATATATATTATATTGAAATGCCATACTAAAACTATACTAAAAAATAGAAAGAAAAGATTCATCAGAAGGCTAGAAAGAACAGGAGAGGAATGATAACAAAAGCTAGTGACTCTCAGAGAGATTGGCCATTAATTAGAAACAACCAAAATGGACCAATCACACATGCACCTGTTGCATTCCAAGCAGCAGATAGTTATTGTTTACATTTCTTTCCTGAGGTTCCTCAGCTCCTCAGGAGGAAATCCTGACAAAAGGATTTTTCAGAAAATATCATGGTGACATTAGTTTTCATAAGGTAGTCCAGAAGGTGGCAATATGGACAGCTTAGAATGGAACACTTGCTGCAGCGCTACCATGGTGATAACAAAAAGGACTTAAAACATTAAAAAGGGCAAACAAAGGAGTTGGAAGGAAAATACCATTAACCACTATTCCATTTTTCTAATATATCCTTCTCTAAATCATCATTTTCATGCAGTTTCACAGCTTGAGTTGGTATTCCTGAAAAGGAATCTGAGACAGAGTAAGCTTTTTAGTGTAGATGTGACAAAACACAGGCCATGTTGCCTTTTTTACATCAAACACAAGTCATGCTTGAGCTACTCTTTGCTTAAGGTACTTAGCGCACACTAAGAATTTTACTCATGACTAAGTTTTACTGTCACTCAGAATTCTCTGGCTTCCTTTGGTTTTCATTTTGGTTTTCTTCCTCTTGCTCTTTTTCATGTCACCTTTCTAGACACCATGATTTAGATTTGCACTTTACTAAGCTATGTTTTTTGTCTGGAATTCTTGTAAATTTTGAAAGGAAGTCAACGTGTAAATATGCATCTTTTTATGATTGGCTAGCTACATATAAAATCTTCCTGCTGCTATAAAATTCTTTTATTTGATATGCATTTTTATTACCATTCAAATTAAAAGAGAACTGTCCCGAGTGCACTGTTTGTACTTCTGGAACAACAAATATTTCCTTTGGGCTATGGAGAGTATCACCTATAATTAGGATGTTAGAAGGACCACCTTTTGGCCCATGTTTGCCTGTGGGAACACGATAAACATTGTCATTTTTAAAGTCAATGGACAGTGCAGTTACCAGTTGGCGGCGGGTTCCCCTCAGTATCACTCCGTGTGCTGGGTCTTCCTCATGTGGTCTGGAATCTCCTGGGATGGTGCGTG